TGGCGCTCACCACGCCTCCAGCCGTCACGGCTGCTGGGCAGCCGAATCCACCAGCGAGCGGCTCATCCAACGACCCGCCCGAGTGGCAAACCACAATTCAGGCTATAGAGAGGCGTTTGCTTCAAACTCTCGGCTATCAAGCCCATTATGAAGATGCTCTTGATGAAGTGGAGCAAACACTGTTCACTTAAATGGTCACGGACGTGGTCCTCCCGCTGAAGTTCCACACTCCGGCCCAATCGAAATTCGACGGCACCAGTGACCCACAGGAGCACATATGTCAATACAAGCAGATCATGCAAGGAACTAGCGTGCAGAAGGAGTTAAAAGACGCCATCTTTTGTGAGGTCTTCCCTCAAAGCCTCAAGGGACTCGCATTAAAGTGGTTTGTGCAACTACCGCCGAGAACAATTGGCACGTTCAAGGAGATGACGAAGATTTTCATGGCAAATTACTCCATCAATTTGCATACCAAGACAAACCCTGAGGAGCTCTTTTCCATCGTCCAACAACCCGACGAGCCGCTTCGCAATTATTTCAAGCGGTTCACCAAGGGAGTCAACTCGATCCTCGGTTGCAAAGATGTAGTTGTCATTTGCGCCCTTAAAAAGGGACTACTGCCAGATTCACCGCTTGTCGAAGATTTGTGTAATCGGTGACCGAACGCGATCACCGAGGCGTTTACCCAAGCCCAAGGTCAGATCCAGGCCGAAGAACTTTAGCCGTCCACGGGCCGTGACCTATACCGCTCCACTCGCCGCAACCACCTTCACACGGGTGAAACAAGGAACGACAGTCGACTTGCCAGAAGCGAACGGGCAACTAGCCAAATGAGTCGCGAATTAGAGAACCACTCGAAGGAAGAATCAAGGAGCAGGTCCCACTCGCTCACAGACGAAACGAGGAGTGGCTACCGACTGGCCAGAGAAATCAAGCAACTGACCACACTAGTGGCAGGTCAAACAGTCGCTTGAGCAGCCGATCGCCGCAAGGAACGCACTACACCTGAGGAAATAGTACATTTGAAGATCGGCCTCTCGGCCACGCGCGGCTCCTCCAACGAGCCGCCCTTCTCCTTTTTTCTTACACGCCCTTTTTCTTTTTCTGTCTTTCGCATTTTTCGCATTCCATGAAAGTTGGATTGACTTTTTATTTATACATGAAAACCATTATTAGTTACCAATTTATTTTCTTAGCAAAGATATATTTTCATCAATTATAGTGGAAGCACACCGAAGACTCTATAGTAGACGTACCCTCAGTTATCAAGGGAAACACTATAAATCTCTTATATTTCTGTCTCTTATTTACTTTTTTCTACTTTAATTATATGCTACATGATTCTAACTATCTATTTAGTACGGATTCGGTCATTGGCCTCATACAAATTCAACTGATTTGCCCTCCACAGTTTGGCGCCCACCGTGGGGCCATAGCTGCAAATTCAAACACTTCTCCTGTGACAGACGTGAAGAATGACGAGAACAGGCCTCCCACTAATCCAGCAGCCAGAGGGACAGAGACATGCCAGCAGACTGACGACCAGCTACTGGCCGACTGGTGCCACAGATAGGAAAAGAGTGATTTGCAAATCACTGAGCTGATTACGGAGAACAAGGAATTATAGAGACGATTTTTCAACCCTTTGGCTTTTTTCACGCAGCCACCATAAAGCACTGGGATCAACAGAACCACTCCCCAACTCGCCAGCACGTTGACTTTCTTGAATGGATCTCAGCCGGCTACAGCTTACACGCCGTTCAGCCCGCTCCATTCCATGGCGCTCACCACGCCTCCAGCCGTCACGGCTGCTGGGCAGCCGAATCCACCAGCGAGCGGCTCATCCAACGACCCGCCCGAGTGGCAAACCACAATTCAGGCTATAGAGAGGCGTTTGCTTCAAACTCTCGGCTATCAAGCCCATTATGAAGATGCTCTTGATGAAGTGGAGCAAACACTGTTCAAGTAAATGGTCACGGACGTGGTCCTCCCGCTGAAGTTCCACACTCCGGCCCAATCGAAATTCGACGGCAGCAGTGACCCACAGGAGCACATATGTCAATACAAGCAGATCATGCAAGGAACTAGCGTGCAGGAGTTAAAAGACGCCATCTTTTGTGAGGTCTTCCCTCAAAGCCTCAAGGGACTCGCATTAAAGTGGTTTGTGCAACTACCGCCGAGAACAATTGGCACGTTCAAGGAGATGACGAAGATTTTCATGGCAAATTACTCCATCAATTTGCATACCAAGACAAACCCTGAAGAGCTCTTTTCCATCGTCCAACAACCCAACGAGCCGCTTCGCAATTATTTCAAGCGGTTCACCAAGGGAGTCAACTCGATCCTCGGTTGCAAAGATGTAGTTGTCATTTGCGCCTTTAAAAAGGGACTACTGCCAGATTCACCGCTTGTCGAAGATTTGTGTAATCGGTGACCGAACGCGATCACCGAGGCGTTTGCCTGAGCCCAAGGTCAGATCCAGGCCGAAGAACTTTAGCCGTCCACGGGCCGTGACCTATACCGCTCTACTCGCCGCAACCACCTTCACACGGGTGAAACAAGGAACGACAGTCGACTTGCCAGAAGCGAACGGGCAACTAGCCAAACGAGTCGCGAATTAGAGAACCACTCGAAGGAAGAATCAAGGAGCAGGTCCCACTCGCTCACAGACGAAACGAGGAGTGGCTACCGACTGGCTAGAGAAATCAAGCAACTGACCACACTAGTGGCAGGTCAAACAGTCGCTTGAGCAGCCGATCGCCGCAAGGAATGCACTACACCTGAGGAAATAGTACATTTGAAGATCGGCCTCTCGGCCACGCGCGGCTCCTCCAACGAGCCGCCCAATTTCTCCTTTTTTCTTACACGCCCTTTTTCTTTTTCTGTCTTTCGCATTTTTCACATTCCATGAGCAGCTAGGACGTAATAATCGAACTACGCTCCAAGCTTGATCCTTAACCATGGATACGTAGGCAGCTCGTACAAGACTAACGAGTCCAACCTGAATTTTTATTAAAATCCATTTTCCCCACTTCTCTTTGATACACCCTACAGAGAAAGAATTTACGAGCCGGTCACAGCTAATGAGCTGCTCACGCCTCACGAACTTCTGTCAGCTCTCCAACCGCTCACATCTAACAAAGACCCTACAATAGACCTACCCTGGATTATCAGAGAAACCGTTATAAATATCTTGTGTCTTTATCTCTGATTTACTTTTTTCCGCTTTAATTATTTGCTACACGATACTAACTCTCTGCTTAATTTGGATTCAGTCATTGGCCTCGTACAAATTCAACTACAGATTTTGCCCCCTACAATAAGCAACCAAACTAAACAAATTTTTAAGAAAAAACTAAGCGTTATTATCATGATGGTGTCGAGAGGACAGTGGAAAGTTGCCCGTAATGAAGCTAGTACATGGTATGAGGATCGCAGCAAAGATGCCCGGCAAAAAATAAAATAAAATAAAATAAAAAAGGTGCTCCCAGGGGGCATGCTATGACGAGCAAGGGCCGAAGGCAGGGGACAAGGCCAGGTGGGATTGCGATAAGATGAGTCGATGTGGGATGTAAAAGCGATTAGTGCTTCACAAAGACCGTTTGGTTTTGTTTATGACATTTTATTATTTTTATTAGGCTTATTAGCACTTTGGAAAATTTTTGAAAATACTTCTTGAAATGGAACATTTTTTTATTTCTACCACTTAACATTAGTTCATATATTTCTACCTTTTAGATTAGAATTAGTTAAGTGTAGAGTTTTTTTAAAAAGAATACTTTTAATAAGTCGGGTACTTATGAGATAGAATCTGTAATTTTTTCTAGCACTTTTTAGTCCCTAACTTATAAGCGTTGTGGACCAACGGTGTCAAATTACTTCCCTAACTTCAAAAAACTTGGGCTAAAAATTGTTTGCTGAGTGAAGGAATGACCACCCAGCTCAATTTTCCTTTAATATAACAATAAAACTAGAGAAAATTATTAAACTTATCTTTACAATGTATGAATTTGGAGTTTTATCATACCCTTAATTAATACATTTTTAATTAATATAATTATTTGATTAAAAGAAATATTAATCAGGAATAAGGTAAAAATTCAAAAATACCCTTTTTCTCATATAACTATATTTTGTAAAAATTAAGGATTGGACGTGAAATCTCTATAAAATTTCAAAAATTCTTTGTCAACTTTAGTGGAAAAAACCAAAACAAATTAGAAAACAAGAGTTCAAAAACTAATTTGTCTAAATAAAAAATTTAAAGACCAAAATGACACAATTCTTATAATTGTAGAACTAACAGGAGAAAAAATATATAGAAAATTCCACGATTTCAAATCTCAAGGGCTAATCTCTATAATATCAGATGATTAAATGTTCTTATGAAACTGATGGTTTGAATTTTACTTGATATTTAGACAAACAGTTATGTTTAATATAACGTTTTAGTCATTTTGCACAAAAAAAACTGATGTAGCTATGATGCAGCGCTCAGAAAATTTGACTAAAAGCTCATGGACAGTAAAAGCATACAGAAAAATAGTTTTAAGTTACTGTGCAGCGAGAATGCCAAAATAGGATCACTATTCACAACCATACCAAAACCTTTTAATCAAAGGCTAACAAAGGTAACAAAAGCTGATTAGTTTCCAAGAGTTCGTTTAAAAGTTATACTCAAACTATAATTCTTACTTTTAACGTTTGAAATTCAAATTTTTGTGAGAGAAAAACATTATAGCAAAATCAATTATTTGAGTCTGAATATACAAAAGAAAGGGGCACCAAAATTCCTAAGTGCTTCACTTCTTTGGCCTCCCAATTGTAGAGCGCTTTCCGTACACATTTGCGTATATATAGCAAACTATAATTCTTACTTTTAACGTTTGAAATTCAAATTTTTGTGAGAGGAAAACATTATAACAGAATCAATTATTTGAGTTTGAATATACGAAAAAAACGGGCACCAAAATTCACAAGTGCTTCACTTCTTTGGCCTCCCAATTGTAGAGCGATTTCCGTACACATTTCCGTATATATAACAACAGTGCGCCAGAAAATTGATTCTTCTTCATGTTCATAATCCTCTTACAAAGAATTTTCAAATGTGACCTGGTTTAATATCTCTCTCATCACGTTTATGATAAACTAGATCGTCAATCAGTCCGACTTCTACTGCATTTTCTTTTAGATTCTTTGTCATCCTCAGAATAATCCCTCCCATCCGAGCTATTTCGGTGTCTTCTATGGCTTAATTTACAGCTGCTCCTTGATCTGCGATCGGACTTTCTTTTAGATTTATGATGTTTTAACGCAGTCTCTTCAGATTTTGCAGGATAATCATCTCTTGCTTTACTGGAATAGTATGACTGAATCATATTCAGAATTAGAATCCTTCCCACTAGATTTGTGTCGCCTCTCATAGGAATGCTGTTCAGGATCCCAACGATCCCTTTTTTCAATTTGTACATCGAAATTGTATCTTGAATCAAATCTCTCCTCACATTGACTCGAACAGCTTGAATCACGGCTCCTATCTGATCTTAGATTCTCATCACACGAATCTGCTTTGCTGATATCTCTGCTTGAATGACCCCTCCCATCTTTTAACCTTTTTGCGGGTTCACCGTCATCTGAAAAGGCCAATGCTTCATCCAAATGTCCCCTGATACAACTACCGTTCCTAGCTTCATCGATGTCTAACCACTCATCTCTATTTCCGTTTCTGTCATGGTCATCCCAGAATTTTTCAACTTTTCTGTGCAGTCCCGAGCTCTTCCCCCTGCTACAGTGCCTATTACCATCACTGTCCTTATCCAACATCTCCCTATCAGCATCATGACTCCTGTTCTTGCTGTCCCGATGGTCACCAGGATATCCAGCTTTCTTATGGCTTCTTCTTGAACTGCTACCATGGTATGCTTCACTGTCTCTGCCTTTGTTTCTCATATCTTCATTAACTTCATGATCTCTACTCTCATGATCTCCATAATCATCCAGCTTTTCTGTTTTCCTGTGATATTTCGAGCTTTTCCTGGTACCACCACGGTGCCTTTCCTTCTCTCTCTCCCTAGCAAACCAATCTCCATCAAAATCAGATTCAGGGGTGTTCTTATTATCGCTGTTCTTTCTTGATCTTTTCCTTGTGTAATCATAATATTCATCTCCGCTTATTTGTCCACCATCATCATATGAGTCTTCAGTATCAGTATGATGTTTTCTCTTCCGGTGATGACTTAATTTTGAGCGCATACTCTCTTCGCGTACATCCTCATTGAAAGAACCGATTTCCTCTATACCACTGGTTGTGCACCTAAGTTGATCTGCTTTCCTCTGAACATAATCATCAGGGTTCCTTCTTCTACCTGAACCACTATGTTGCAAGTGACCTGTCTCTCTGGATCCAGATCTTCTTGACCGGTGCCTGAAATAATTTAAGTGAGACTAACAACGACACTTCTAATGCACACAATAGAGAGGCATCGTGAAGGAAGATGAAGTACCCAGCAAGATAAAACACGATATTCAAGCCAAGTTAAAATTAAAAGCAAGATGTCTAAAGAATTCATTTATAAAAGACATCCACATAGAAAAATCGAAGCATGAGATTGTAACATTATACAACATAAAATATCACGAGGAAGCAATTTACCTGTAAATATTAGTGAGTCTTCTGTCACATTACATACTAAAAAGAATTTTATTCGTGAATATTTGTTTGTTCATTGTCCTTTTATTATTCGATTGTTGTTTAGGTTGGTGAGAAAGTTGAAATCAGTTTGGGATTTCTTATGTGGGCCTGCAAGCACTTGTTTCAATTTAATTATTTGAGAGGTTTAAATAAAAAGGCTAGATATGCTGATTTGGAGTTGTGCAGTCCCAGCACTTAGTTGGGCCGTTTAGCTTTAAAGAAATGGAAGCCTTCGGGGGGATCTATGAGTGTTTTGATGAAATGTGGGAAAAACTTAAGTTTTGGGTAGATTTGGGAATCTACTTTGGTAAAAAGTTAAGGAATACGATGTAAGAGTTATCAAGGGAAGGGATTAGATTTCTTTGTCTTAGTTTTGAATATTATTGTCGGAAATGTAGAACTTCCTATCCTATCCTTATTTTTATTCTTTTGTTTTAATGAAATGAGAAAATGTGGTAGATAAAAGTAAAATTTGTACAAAGAAGAAGAGGAGAGTTCCTCTTTGTTGTGGTTCTAAAGAGAATATGTTATAGTTATTTCTTTTTTAACCTTTATCTCACCCAACTACCCCCTTGTACCTTTTGTTTCTCATCAGGAAAAAAAAAAACAAACTTTTTTAACCTTATCAATAAAAGTTCTTTTTTTTCATATTGAAAAGAGAGAGAGAGAGAGAGAGAGCAATGCAAACAGGACAAAACAGACGCAGGGTACTGAATATACTTTGCGAATGTAGTATGTACAACATCCATAAACACAGGTAAAGTGGCAATAGCTAAAAAACAAACTAAAAGCACACCTGTCAGCATCAGCTGTCGATATCTTGCGAGATCTATTTGGCTGATCCAAGTTCTCTGGCACCCTGTGTCTCTCACATGCAGATTCATCACAATATCCGAATAAAAAAGCCATCTTTCTAAACCAATATCTTGGAGGTGGTTTATCGCTATCTGCCCATTCATAGTCTCCTCCAGGATTGCGAAAACAGTGGATGAAATTGCAAGCCATCCCACGGGAACATGTCTGTAAGACATCAAAGGAGAGATTATCAAGCACGCAGAGAGGATGGGCAGCAAAATAGACAAAGGACTTGATCCATTTTTTACTTGGAACAAGTTCTACCACATACAAATCTTAGAAGAAGCAACAATAAGAAAAAGAGGTGAAAGCTCAAACTAATGATCACGAGATCAACGCTGTGGAAGATAATCAGGTATGTGTTCGGAACTCTATATGGAGCCAATTCAATCCTACTTTTTCAGACTGGGCCGGGGGGGGGGGGCAAAATTTTCTGTGAACAATTAGACCCTTTAGAGAGAACTTACCCAGATTTAATTCTAATGAGGTAGCCTATGGATGGGAGCCAACGTTCAAATTGAGATCTCCAGTAATCATATAGAACCCTTTAAAGCGATTTTATCTTCTTTTAATTTTTTCGGAGGAGAGGAATGTTTTGGAAAAGGTGGTGAGAAAAATTCAGATTTTGGATTCTCTTAATCAAGGGACAGAGAGTAGGACCTCGAAAGAGGTTAGGCGAAGGAAGAGCAGGAGGGGTCATCAGGAATTAAAAGGATTGGAGTGGGGATTGAATTACAGAATTAAGACCAGAAAATTGGAAGGTCAGGGAGTCAGCAAGTTAAAATGATTTTGGTCTCTTGGAATGTTAGAGGCATAGGTTCAAGTAATAAGAGGGGTACAATAAAGGATAATTTGAGAGAATTGAAACCGGACATAGTGATATTGCAAGAGACTAAGAGAGAAGTGTTGGAGGAGAGAATGGTGGGGAGTTAATGGAGAGCTAGGTTTAGGAATTGGGTTCATTTACCTTCTATAGGCAGATCAAGGGGTATTTTGGTGATGTGGGATGTTAGAACAATACAAGTGATTGATAATTTGGTGGGATCTTTTACAGTCTCGATTAAGATTGAGAAAGGAGAGGACTTTTGGTGACTAACAGGAGTTTATGGACCAGCTTCATATAAGGAGAGGAAATTTTTATCGGAAGAATTGGTTGGTCTGCAAGTCATTTGTGGGGAAAAGTGGGTGTTAGGAGGAGATTTCAATGTCATTAGATTCACACGTGAGAAATCACCGCCAAAAAGAACAACAAAGAGCATGAGGTTGTTTGATGAGTTTATAAGAGAGGGGAGGCTAAGGGATATTGCATTATCAAATGCCCAATTCACTTGGAGTAATTTTAGAGAGGATGTGGTGGAGTGTAGGTTGGATAGATTTTATTATCTCCGGAGTGGGAAGAAGTTTTCCCCTTGGTTAGGCAATCGGTAGGTTGTAGAACGTTCTCAGACCATTGGCTGTTAGTTCTTGATCCTAACCCGGTAGAGTGGGGGCAAATTCCTTTTAGATTCGAAAACGTGTGATTGGATCATCCAAAATTCTTGGAGTTTTTCAAGGAGAAATGGGCAGCCGTGATGCTGGAGGGATGGTAAGGATGCAAATTTTATAAGAGGCTGAGAAAATTGAATGTTTTCTTGAAGGATTCGAATAGAGAAGTTTTTGGTGATTTGAGGAGCATAAAAAGTGACTGGCAAAAATTGATTTTTTAGATGGAAGAGAGGAGGATCGAGGCTTAGATGAGAGGGAGAGGGCTGAAAGAAGATTATTGAGGAATTCACTTGAGGAAGTAATTTACAAGGAATCGGTTTTATGGAATCAAAAAATGAAATCCCAGTGGGTGAAAGGAGACACAAATTCAAAATTGTTCCACAATTTGGTCAATAATAGGAGAATAAGAGTGTGATAACTAGAATTGAGAAGGATGATGGGGTGATTGTGGACAACACCGATGCCATTGTGAATGAGATATCTGCATATTATGAGAATTTGTATAAGGAAGATTCGGAGGTAGAAAGGAGTTTCGAAGGGATTGAGTGGCAGCCAATAGAAGCCAAGAGAGCTAGGTGGCTTGAAAGGCCGTTTGAAGAGAAGGAGATTAGAGAAGCGGTTTTCTCTTGTGATATGTGTTAGTTTACCAATCTATCCTAAAAGCTTAATCTATTAGGAGGAGATGCGCCAACAATAGTTTTATACTTTAACACTCCCCCTCACGTGTGGGGTGGACAATGGGCAATCATGTGGGTAAATTAATTAGAAAGCCCAACACGTGAATATTTAAGCCCGAGATATATTAAAAACCCAACACATGATGACAATTTAAATGGGGATAAAGAATGCAATTACGGGGGTTTGAACTCAAGACCTCCCTCTCTGATACCATGTTAGTTTACCAATCCATCCCAAAAGCTTTAGCTATTAGGAGTTGGGCCAACAATAGTTTTATACTTTAACAATATGAATAAATCCTTGAGACCGGACGGATTTTCAATGGGATTCTACCAAAAGAGTTGGGAGATTGTGAAAGGAGATTTGAGGAAAGTGCTGGAGGATTTTTTCGAGAAGGGGGTGGTGAACCGGAACACAAACCATACATTTTTATGCCTTATCCCGAAAAAAGAGGATTCTAGAAAAGTGAAAGACTTTAGATGAATAGTTTGGTCTCGAGTCTTTACAAAATCATTGCAAAGGCATTGGCAGATCGGTTGAAGCAAGTCTTGGAGAGTACACTATCATAGAGTCAAAAGTGCCGTTATCAAAGGAAGGTAAATTTTAGATGGGGTGTTGATTGCGAATGAGGTTGTGGAGGAATATAGAGTAGAAGGAAAGTAGGGGCTGGTTTTTAAGCTAGATTTTGAGAAAGCCTATGATCATGTAAAATGGTCTTTTCTAAGGCAATCGATGGAGAGAAAAGGGTTTGGTCAAAAATGGATTGGATGGATTATGGGCTGTCTTAGTTCAGCTAATTTTTCAATCCTAATTAACAGAAAACCAAGGGGCAGGTTTGGGGCCTCAAGAGGATTAAGATAAGGTGACCCTCTATCCCCTTTTTCTGTTCACAATAGTGGTGGATGGCTTAAGTAGATTGATGGATAAGGCGGAGAATTCGGAGGTTATCAAAGGCTACAAGATTATTAGGGAACAAATTGGTGTTTCTCACCTTCAATTTGCGGATGATACCTTGCTATTCTTGGATCCATCGAGAGAAAACTTCAATAACATAGTGACTATTCTCAAATTTTTCTCTATTTGTTCGGGATTAAAAATTAACATGGGAAGAGTACATTAAATGGAATAAATGTGGAGGAAGAAGAAATCCATAATTTGGCCTTGGAGTTAGGACGTGAGGTGGGGTCTTGGCCGATGAAGTATTTAGGCTTACCCTTGGGAGGCAACCCCTTGGCTAAAGAATTTTGGGATCCGGTGGTAGAGAAGATCTCTAAGAGACTTGATAATTGGAAGAAGGAATTTTTATCAAGGGTTGGGAGGTTAACTCTAATTCAGTCGATATTGTCTAGCATTCCAATTTATTACCTATCTCTCTTTAGAATCCTGGTGGCAGTAGCAAAGGAGATTGAAGATCGGATGAGATGTTTTCTTTGGGATGGATTAGAGGAGAAAGAAAAGGTGGATAATCTTGTGGATTGGAAAGTAGTCTCTTTGGGCAAGAAAGAAGGGGGTCTGGATATAAAAAATTTGTTGAAGAAGAATCAGGCTTTATTAGGTAAGTGGCAATGGAGGTTTCCCCAAGAACAAGGTTCTCTGTGGCTATGATTATTAGAAGTAAGTAAGGGTTGCAATCTAACGGCTTGGACTCTAATCTGGTAAGGAGAGGCATTCATAGGAATCTGTTAAGCTCCGAGCCACAGTTAGTTGAATTATGACAAAATCAGAAGGACACTAACAGGAAAACTTGATTGAATTAATGGCGGAAGTTGGTTACAGAAAGAATATGGGGATATTCGAGAGATCCCTTGCTCTCCCTAACTTTCTTCTCTCAGAAGTTTCACAAACTGAATGAATGCTTCCTTATTCTACCACTGTTCTATTTATACTCACTATCCCTTATTACTCTCACCAAACCCAAGGACTAACTAACTATTAACCACTTGCTGACTCAGCCACACCCTCCTTTCTTTCCTCGAGTGCCCCCTCCACCTCAGCAACCCCTTGAGTTGTCCCCCCACTTGCACTTCCCATTCCACTTCCTTCAGCTCTTCCTTCAGCTCCCGACCTTGTCACGTAGTGGTGTGCTTCCTTCGAGCATACGTATAACACACAGGGGGCTTATCAGAATCCTTGGAAATCAATATCTCCAAGTCTAAATTCATTTCTTGAGCGGGTGAAATGGAAGGTGGGAGATGGAAGCATTATGAGATTTTGGGAAGACAAATGGTGTAGTGATCAGCCTTTTGCAATCACTTTTCCAAGGCTTTTTAGTCTTAAAAATGACAAGGAGGTGAAAATAAAAGAGGTTTTTGTCTGTAGGTGATAATTCTGTTGTAAATTGGAACTTTGGTCTTCGTCGAAATCTCAATGAAAGAGAACATGATCAGCTCTTAAATTCGTTGCAGGTTTTGGGGAATCTTTCTCCAAATCCTTCCCGGGGGTGGGGGTGGAGTTGTCCGAATCTGGGAAGGGAATTCAAATGGGTTTTCATGTAATTCTTTCTTTCAATCCTTGATAAAAAATCCAAATAATCCTCGGTTTGAACCTTTTAAATCAGTCTGGAAATCTCGTGCTCCATATAGGGTTAAGGTGTTTGCCTGGTTGTTTTTCATAGAAAGTTGAATACTTGTGATTTAGTGCAAAGAAAACGCCCTAATATAGCCTTGTCTCCTAGCTGGTGTGTTATGTGTAAAGGCAGTTCTGAAATGGTAGATCATTTCTTTCTGCATTGTGAGTTGGCTAGGAAGCTGTGGTGTAAAGTTTTGGAAGCAGCTGCTACTCCTTGGTCTTTTCCTGTGTAAAGTAACTCTATACTGGTGGAGAATTTTTTCGGTTTTGGGAGGGAGAGAAAAACCAAGACAATTTGGAGAGCTTTGATTCTAGCTATTTTATGGGTCATCTGGATAGAGAGAAATCATAGAATCTTTAAGGATAAGGAGATGTCTTTCGAAGATCTTTTTGATGATAAGGCAAAATTTCTTGTGTCGTTGTGGTCATCAACAGATTCCTCTTTTAAACATTTCCCACTTTGTTTGATAGTTCTAAGTTGGGAGGATATTCTAAAGAGGATGGGAACTTAGTTTTTGGTATCTGTTTTTGGTTTCAAGTTTCAGTATTTCTCAATTGTAATATTTTTATTTTTTCCTTGATGGAATCCTCTTCCATCTCGAACCTTATCTTGTAATTTTTTCGTTGAATGAAGTTTCCAGTTTCTTATCAAAAAGAAAAAGATGTGAAAGAACATCAAGTACAACCTTGAATAAAAGTGAGAGAAGTGTAAGGATTGTTTGTACCTTGAACCTTGACTTCATATACTCTCCACATATTGCAACCTTCCATCTGGTTATGTTGACAAATTCACAATTTATCTGCAGGAAGCATCAAAATGAATAAACCGGCCACAAAGGCTAGTTTGCAACACTTAAAGGAATGATGGGAAAACTCAAAAAGGAAATCAGAATACTGTTATTAACATCCTAGAGCCGTCCCATGGATTTTCTTCAGAGTTGAGGTAGATAGGGTAATTGTGGTATAGTTTCTCTAATGAACTAAATCAGATACGAGTAATGCCTAGAAACTCTACAGATCTGTTTGTGTAAGAGTAGTTTTTAAAGGTAGCAATGACCCTCAAGCCAAGCTTGATTTGTGGTACAGCTATGGCTACATATTAAACAATCTAGTGTCCAGACCCAAGTCATCTTCAACAATTTCAACCTCTCAATTAATCAATTCTTAGATCAAGAATATGTCATCATACACAACCACCACTCATCTCCAATAAATCAAAAGTAATCACATCTCCAGAACTACCATATCCTTGACCTCATAAAAGGAACAAAGCCTTCTCGTCACTAGTAAAACTCTGTTCAAAAACTTCTCCCCCCACTTGAGGCTAGAACTAGAGTAATGCCTACTTCCATAGTCTTCAAATATTCAAGAAAAATTTTTAGGCACGAATTTCTATGGAATGACCATGAAAAACTTGAACTTTGAAAATTCCTAAGGATGGCAGCTAGCACTGTCATATGAAGCATGAAAACATAAGAGGCAGCTCTCCATATTCTTTAAGTGATTTAATCATTGACACCATCAGGAGGTTAAACTCTCCACACAGCTCTCTGCTAAAAAAAGACTAGTATAGCAGGCATTCTTATATTATACCACTTATATGGTCATTGACACGATTAAAGAGGTCGACTTCTCATACAACTACTGAGAAAGAGCAAAGTATCAAAAATACCGATAAAATAACGAAAGATTTTTGCTGGACAAGCAAAAACAAAACCAAACAAACAAATAAGGGAGCAGAAAACACAGCAAGAAGACAAGAAATTTGGGTACATGCTGCAACAAAAGGAAACATAGGACGCCGTATTTTGAGCAAAGGATAAGAGCTTAAAAAAAGCAAGTGTGCGCATCAAAGGTATTTATATGGAAAAACGTAACAACTGACAGAATGCAGTATTTTGGATTCTCACACACTACCAATACCTGTTTTCCGGCAAAGAAGCGACCGTTGATATAATGATGTGCAAGAACAGCAGAATCCAATGACTTAAAGTGCACATACACATTTCCTCGCAGGTGGGATGACCCATTTCTACACACCTGGTACAGAATTCATTATTACCCTAAGATTACATGAAGAGAAACAATAGGGTAGAAGCAAGAAACAATCTCCAGGATCCTTATTGCCACTATAACTGCTTTAAGTATTCTCTTGTATGAATATTTACTGCATATACTTCTTGAAAATAAAAAAGGGGAAATCTCCAACTTGCTCAAGATGGTAAAAACCAAATGCATGTCATATTTTCAAATTCACATCCTATAAATTTTGAAAAACAAGATTATCTAACTGCACGGTTACAATCATGTGGTCAGTGAAAGACTGCAAAAACAGTTAAATTTTGAAGCAAGCAAACATTAATTTATAAAGTTGGTTACATTTGGCAAAAAGTTGGTTCCTATTTTTTATGGGAAGGAATTAAATTCCATAGGTAAAAGGTGGGAGATAAGCTCCCCCTTATCAAGGAACTTAATTCCTCATTTGTTGGTGGGGCCCACCTCATTCAATTCCCAAAAAGGAATATAAACACAAGAATATAAAATATGGGATTTCTTTCCTGAAATTGAATTCCTAATTAGTAAACACCCCTCTTAGTTTAAAGTGTTTCCAATCCGAAAACATTCAACACATGTAGGTATACGCTATACATGTAGTTGCATGCAAACATTAGATGAAAACTCTTAGAAACGTAGGAAAATCACAGAGCGTGGCGTGGATAAAGCAATTGGAAACCTTGAAATTCACAATTTCCCCAAATTTCAAGAATTCTGTGTGGACATCCTCATAAAATTCTTCATAGCATCGTTCGATCTCCTCATCAGTATGCTGAAAAGAGCAAAACAATAGTGAAAAAATTATTTAAATAGACAGATCATTTTATAATAAGACCAAAGAGACAGCAGGACATAGTATAGAAGATTGAGAAGATTCAATGCAGATGAGTTGTACAGCGTCCTTCAAACATGCTAACAGTATGTTTTATCAGATGTTCAAGGGCTATACAAACAGACAAATCAGCTAAATTTAATAACAAAGATAGGCTTAGCATGGAACTGTACAACAGTTTATCAAGATGTAAAGAAAGAAGCGCTTCATATCCTCCATCAATGCATGTTGACTGTCAGCTCTATTCATTTTTGGAAGACATGAAAATTCGAAGTTCAAAGGAAAAGATGACAACATAATGAATTCCATGATATACAAAAATACAATTACTCGCATGCAAGACTTCTAATTTATCCATTGTACCAAATATCCAATCATGTCAAGGATCAATGCTTTCATAAAGTGGCAAATAAGAACATATATAAGAAAAGGAATAGCATAAAGTTTTTAGGAAAAATAATCCAAAAAAAACAAGCATTTGAAATTGGCAATATAAACAAAATTGATAACTTCACAGTTCTAACCAAAAATATAATATCTATCCTTCGAACTTGGAAGTTGTAGTACATAAAAAGATACAACAAAGCTGACTTGAAATTTTTATCCTAGTAGCAAGCACAAATAACCTCCAAATAGCTACAAATTAAAGATCTACAAATTTGCATGTGCCACTTTTTGTACAATAAAAGACTAGAGAAAAGAGTGTACCCCCATTTCACCCTTATAACCCCTTCAGACTATCTGCTCCAATACGAGGGGTGTCATTGGTAGTATTTGAAATAAAATAAAATAAAATACTAACTTTTTTTTTATACCCAGAAATCCCCCGAACCCACTTTGTGAGCCCAAGTTCGAAACTGGATCCCTCCGCTAAACCCTACAATTTTTGGAAGACAAGAAAGAAATACTAACTTTTTATCGAAAAGATCCCGAAATATTTCCCTTCTTCGACGTGTTTTAAATTAAATAAAACATAACATTCACATACTTGTAAGGGTTCTGCAGAAAATTACAAACCTTTGGAAGTTCTAATCATTATCACCCAAACAGCTCCAATACACCTAGGAGAGTCGATCTCCCGACAAACTACCAACAGTTAAGGAGCACGAATTTGCAGCACAACAAACAGGTGCAGTTACGTATGGTTAAAAAAGTTACAAGTGAGATGAATGTCACGCTACAAACTATAAAAAGACTTACATTTGCAACTGAGTGAATAACAGAAGAAAATATTAGAGTTAAATTTTCTCCTCATAGATACACAAATCAACGAATTATCAGTTAAATTTTCTCCTCATAGATACACAAATCAATGAATTATCAGTTGTATTTACCGCAGCCTAGTACATATAGCCTTATACAAATAGAAATTGTATGCATTCATTATAAAAGATTAGATAGATTGTTGCATAATTAGGTAAGAAAATAATTTGTTCGCGAGATAATATCCTTCTACCAGGAAGAAGATTACATAATTGCCAACTGAACCAAGGTCAAAACCAAGAACCTCCATCGAACTGAATCTTGCAAATGGATCTTATTACTTGACTTGAATTAAGGCAAAGAATAAGCACTCAACCAAAACCCTTTTTTGGAGTTTTTTTTTCTATAGAAAATTCAGGATGAAAAAAAGAGTACAAAGCCTAAAATCAAAAGATACTATGGCAAACAGGAACTTGCATAATCAATATAAACAAGGTACCTATTCAAAACAATAATGAAAACAGCAAGAACCGATGCACGCATGTGCACAAAAAGACAATAAGACAGCCAAAAGGTTTAGCCAAAAGGTTTGGCCACAAACAACTGCTATAGGATACTCAATGAGAGGCACTCTCATCGAGTAATAATAGCATAAGAAAAGAAAGCTTCATACTTAGAATGACATGCAGAAGAATTGCATAGTCATTATCAGGATACAAATCACATAATGCAGCACTAACAGACCTCAAGCCCCTCATCCTGCTCCCAAGCAAGGCCAGGTCCATTGTACATGTTCTTGATAAGCAAAGTGCAGGATTTGTCTGGATAGAAATGAACTCTGCTGCAGCGCTGGCCAAACCGACAAGCTCCAGTTTTTAAATGGAAAGGACAATGAGCTTTATCCTGCAATACATAGACAAACAAAAAGTATGGTTTGGTGCCATGATCCTCCACAGTGATGCCAGCAAACAAAAAATAAGAACAACCAAAGCAGATAAAATCATAAAATTAAGACCAAGACAATAAATAAACCCCTTATTGAGTTAGTTCGGGAAGCAACGGGATTTGGAGAAGCTACATCTTTTTCCTAGTTTCTAATGGACAAGAATAATCCTACAACAGAAATCATAAACAAAATGAGAAGGAATAGAAGAAACACCTGTTCGGTTCCAAAATTTGGCACTTGTTGAGCAACACTATCAATCAAATCCTGTGCTGAAACCAAGGAATTTCTGTACTCAGGAAAAGCTTCAGACTCCGGAGGAAGAGGATTTGACGCAGGTCTATTAGCATCCTGGAAAGGAAAAAAAAATCAAAAAATAATAATAATCAAACATTTGGCCTAATCACAAGAGAAAGCACTCAACCGAGTGACTTTGAAATTAATCAAACATCCATAACCATACCACTTTTTTATCTAATTCTTCAGGTTCCTTCTTCTTCGGAACCCGGATCTTTTTCTTCTTGAAAATTATCTCATTTCCTTGCCAGATAATCTCTGCCGGTCCATCTTCTACATAATCCCAGTCATCACTCTCATTGCCCTCATTTGCATTTTCAACCTTTTCAATCATTTTACAAACAAATAACAGACATTTATCATTTGCGAGAGATCAAATTTCAAAATTAATCCAATAATATAAGAACCAAAGTTCCATAACACCGCAAGCAATCACGAATTACTCCAACTAATTAAGAGCCAGTTAGGGATTTCCATACCTTTACCAGTTTCGTTGCAATCGCTTTTGAAAAACGACTCAAATTTATAATAATTAACGAATGAGTTTGTGCTTAAAAATAACTAAAAATTTGTTTATCCTCCCAAACTTTCCCGTACTTTCTCAGTGACCAAACAGGTGCTCAAAACAAGAATATTACCTGTTCTCTCCGAGATTCTTGATCGAGAGCCTTCCGCTTTCTCTCTTCTTCTTCTTCTTCTTCTTGTTCGATCACTTTCTTCTTCTTCAATTCCATGGCCTCGAGCCAAGCCTTTTCTCTCAACTCGAACTCCTTTCTCTCTCTCTCGGACCTCTCCACCTCTTCCTGCTCCATCAATCTGATCCTCATCTGCTCCTCCGGATCGTTAAGCCTCGCTTCCTCTTCATCTCGCTCCGTTGCAGCAATTTCTCTTCTCGCCTGCTTTCTCTTCATCTTCTTCAATGCCTTCCTCTTCTCTTTCCTACTCATTCCCTTCTCCATAGCTGAACCTGAAGCCTCAGCTTCCGCGTGATTTTCTATTTCTCCTTCTTTTTCTCCCTCTTTGATTATAGATTCTGCCATTGGCTTACCAAAAGTGAAAACGAATAAGACGAGAACTGAGAGAACAGGAATGGAGAGAAAGTTTTCTTGTATTTTCCTTGGGTTTTTGATTGAAAGAGCACGAACTGAAATATCAAGCAGAACCGGGGAGAGAAGATGGTGGCAGAGAAAATTTGACAGAAGAGACCGGAACAAAACAACAATTGAAGATGTAGACCATTTTTTTATAATAAAAAAAAATTTAACGTGTATCTTAGGTGTAAAAAAATGGGCCATATTTTAACCTATATGTATAGATCACTTTAAAAAAAATATCTTCCTCTTTCAGAGTAGAACAAACCGACCCTCCCATCCCTCTTGTCTCTCACCGATGACCACCCTCCCTCTCCGCTTCTCTCTCGCCGACGACCACCCTCCCTATCGACTTCTCTTCGCTGACCAGACCATCCTCCCATCGCCGACCGACCACCCTTCCATCGCTGACCGACCACCCTCTCATCCAACCCCGACCGACCCTCCCTCTCCGATTCTCTCTCGCACCACCCAACCATTGCCGACTGACCACCCTCCCTCTCCGATTCTCTCCGCCTACCAACCACCCTCCCATCACCGACCGACCACCCTCCCATCCAACCCCGACCGACCCTCCTTCTCTGGTTCTATCTCGCACCACCCTCCCATCGCCGACCGACCACCCTCCCTCTCCGCTTCTCTCCACCTACCAACCACCCTCCCCATCGCCGACCGACCACCCTCCCATCCAACCCCGACCGACCCTCCATCTCCGGTTCTCTCTCGCACCACCCTCCCATTGCCAACCGACCACTCTCCCTCTCCGCTTCTCTCTTGTCGACCAGACCACCCACGCCGACAACCCTCGCCGACCAGACCATAAGCCTTCCTCTCTGCTTCTCTCTCTCCATTGGTGATTTCCACGACTAACATGACATCACAAAGCAGCTCTTCTTCCTCAATTAAGAGGGCCATTCCACGAACCCCTGTCGACGAGGTAACAGAATCTGCTCTCCCTCAGGTAACATTAAGGTTTTATTCTTTGATTTAATATTAAGGTTTTATTCTTGTTTTATTTTTTTTAATACATTTTTGCAAGAAGAAAAACTTAATATAAGAAAATAAGAATATATATTAGTGTGTGGTCTATTCGTAGTCGGTTCTTATTCGATTTTAGTTCGTCTGTGGTCTGTTCGTAGTCAATTTTGATACACGGTCAATTCTCGGTCAGTTTTAGTCGAGTTTGAGGTCAGTTCTAGTCGGGTAAGAGGTTGGTTCAAGGTCAGTTCTAATTAGGTCTAGTTAGGCATGGTCGGTTCTAGGTCGGTTCGGTCAGTTCTAGGTTGGTTCGGTCGGTTCTAGGTCGGTTCAGTTAGTTCTAGTCGGGTTTGCTCGGTTCTAGGTCAGTTCAAGGTCGGGTCTAGTTGGGCACGATCGGTTCTAGTCGGGTTTGCTCGGTTCTAGGTCAGTTCAAGCATGGTATGGTTGGGCACGATTAGTTCTAGTCGAGTTTGCTTGGTTCTAGGTCAGTTCATGGTCGGTTCTGGTCAGTTCTGGTTGTTCTAGTCGGTTCTGTCGTTTTGGTCGAGTGCTGACCAATGTGTTTTTTCTTTTTCAGAATGACCTCTCGAACCACAACCCAGATGAACTTCTTGGGATTGAACAACTAAGGATGATCATGGATCCTATGCAGGAGTACTTTCTAGTGACAATTACTATGAAGTCAAAGATGGAGGCTCTGTTAGTTATAAGGCAGAATTTAGACCTTAAAATGGTAATGTCAATTTTCAGGGGATCTTCCTTGGGACATTTGATTTCGATGTCTGAAAACATGATGTATTTTGGAGTGTTAACACACTATCTGCTTCTGAGGCAGATAGAAACATAAAACAAACATAAGTTGTGGTTCCTGGTTAACAGAAAGCCAGCTCGGTTCGGGATGAGAGAATTTGCTTTAATCACTGGATTGAATTGCGGGGAAATCCCAAAGCCGGACATGGTGTTGAAATCTTCGAAGAACATGAGATTGTTGGAGCATTTTAAGCCTCAAATAGTACTTGTTGCTGATTTAAAGAAATTGCTCATAGAGAACAAGATAAAAGGTAGCGATAAAGTAAAGATCGATATCGTTTACTTTTTAGCACAAATATTAATATTTGGGAACGAGAAGAAGATCGTCTCACTGGATTGGCTGTCGTATGCCGACGATTTAGATTTATTTAACAGTTATCCATGGGGCAGGGTGTCTTTTGAATGCACTCCGCGGTCTTTGAGGAAGAACCTAAAAGAGAAATACCAGAAATGGGTTCGGAAAGGACGCAACAAGAGCATTAAGGAAACCTACTCAATATACGGGTTTCCTTGGATCTTCCAGGTATGTCGTACCGTTATATACATAATTTTTAATCATGGCCTTATAGTAAATAATACATAGTTTTTGTTTTACTAGTCTTAAAAAAATTTATTTAACAGGTTTGGGCATTCGAAACTTTTCCAACCATCAGCGCCACGTTAGCAAAGATGGTTGTTGGACGTCTTTCTAAAATGCTCAAATGGGAGGCACGCCGGGTTTCCTTGGTCGAGGTTAGACAGATAGACGACCTCATCCAAAGTGGCGAGGTAAGGGTTTAAATACAATGTGTTTATATGTATTTTTATTATTCAAGTTTCCACCTAAATAATCTTTCATTGTATGTTCTTTTCATATAAAGGGAATTGTCGTACCAATTCTTTATCCCACTAAGGAGGAAATGAGTAGTATGTATATGAGGTTGTATCCGCCTTATGCCGACCAAGAGGATGCAGAGATTGACCAGCTTGCATCATTTTTGAACTCTGGTGCAATAATGGTCCATGTCCAGCAACCGAAGCCTCTAAAACAATATTCTCGTCCCCAACAACAACAACAACAACCACAATAACAACAACAACAACCTCGTCCCCATTATTGTATGTCTATTGATTACATACTTGACATATTATATCAGAGGATGGTAGAGTACAATGGTAGACATTTTGAAGCCATCAACAAGAGGTTAAACTCACTAGACCACTCAATTAGAGAAATAAAGGACAACATGGCACATCTAACAAAACAACAGTTACAGCCAGAACCACAGCCAGAGCCTGAGGAACAACCGGAGCCACAGGTTCAGCTATGGCCTAAGGAACAACTTGAGCCACATGTTCAGTCAAAGCCAAAGTCTGACCCAAGAATGAAAAGCGACTTAAAAGGCCCAGCAAGTATTTTGAGTCGCCTTGCACAGATCATCTGCGTAAGGTGATGAAGAAGATGTGGACCTATAAAAATGTTGTTAGGGCCTTCAAAAAGTAGTTCACTGATGCAAATATAGACTCTGAGTTGATAGAGTGTGGTTTTGGTGATTGGGAAAAAGAGGATGAGATGAAGATCAAGTATCTAGAAATTTTGGTAAGCTAAATTTCGAGGACGAAATTTGTTAAGGATGAGAGAAATGTAATACTCGATATTTAATTAAGCTTTAAGCCAATAATAAATAAATTTGGTAAATTAAAATCTTGCACTACATTTACCATTTATTTCAAAGTTATTTGTTGGCATTATATTTTATTATTATAGCTATCATATGATTTTATTAAACTTATAGCTTTGCTAATCAAGTTTTCAGTTTTAATGTGCAATGCAACAAGCTCGATGTGAGAACTCAATATGCTAAACTTATGAAGAAAAAATTATATTTATTATGATTATTTGATATGATATTTTACCTCTATTGTGATTGATTTAATGATGAATTATTATTTTATATTTTATTATATGGTTTTATGTAAATGTGTTGAGGACTTAGTTGTTATTTTGAGTTTTGTGAGAGAATACTATGTTAGCAATTTGAGTGAACTTTAGGCACCTAATTGAAAAAAAAAATAGAGACTTAAGAGCTGATTTTATGAAGTTAGGACAGCTGTTAGAGGCTTAGAAAAGCCTAGACATTTGTTCTACTATAAGGTCACTTTACTTTTGCTTGGTTTTTATCAAGTTTAGACTTCATTTTTGGGTCTATTTCAAAAAAAAAAAAAAAAAAAACCCTAGAACTCCGACCATAGCACTTTCTTCTCTCTTTTCACCCAAAACTCAGAATCAAACCTAGGTTTCCAAGAGAGAATGAGCTAAAAACTCAACCAGCCCATTTCAACTCATTTTTCAACCTAAAACCAAAACTAACTATCAAGGTTTTGACCTTCTATTCACTTGGGAACGAGTTTTTCTTTGAGATAACTTCTTTCTTATGTTAAAAATTAAGATTTCAGATATTAAGATGTTGATATCCTACTTGAGATTCTGATTTTTGATGTGGCTTATCATGTGTTGGTTGTAGACTCTTAAAAATGAGTTTTTTGAGGTTTTGGTTTAAATATTAGTTTATGGGTGAAATTAATGATTTTAGCTTGATATTATTGATGATTATTTGAAGATAAACTGTTATTAGGGTGATGATTCACATATTTGAGAGTATGTCTTTGAAGATTAAGATATGCATGCGAGGTATTTGATGAAATGTTCAAATATAAGTCATCTGTACAACTTATGTAGATTTTGTTTCCGTGCTATATATATTTATGATTTTGTCTCACGCCCCAGAACAGGGGTCGGTGACGTGGAGCTCGATTAGGGGTTGAACGCATGACAATAAAAGAAATTCCCAACGAGCCCCACACTCAATTAAAATAAAGTACATGGTATTTCCACAGGATCTCGTTACCGTACATACATGACATGTAAATAAATCATTACAGACATCATCCACAATCTATAAATTCAAATATCAGAGTTTACAAATCCTTACATTTATTCAAGAGGATTAACACAATCCTCACTTGATCGATCAGTAGCAAATAATCCCACTACTCCGCACTGCTCTTAGAGTTTCCTGGGAGGGGTTAACATTTTTAAAATAATAAAACGTGAGCAAAATGCCCAGTAAGATATATTTGAAATAAACTTTATAAATAAATAAGAAAGCGTTAAATAAATAAATGATTAAGTGAATAAATAAGACATTCAGTTCCAACACAATAGCCGGAACCTCACATCCTTTTTCTCAAAGGAAATGTAAATGAAAATCACCGTATTACAGGCATCAGCAAGTAATTTATACAAATTACTTACACAATCAAGTGCATAAGC